CGCCTGCTATAAGAACCAGGCTTTTCGTCCAACAATCTCCATGCAATATGTAATCCGACTTCATCAACTGCCGTCAAGAGGTTCACCAATCAGAAACCAGTACACGCTTCTCGGCATAACTGACTGCCCTCTGGAATTTTGTCAATTGAGATTATTCCCGGAGTGTTTGATTAGTGTGAAATTCTTGCGCGGTTAGGATGCTCGAAGCAAGAGGTAAAAGAAAAAGGTTAAAAAGGGTGAATAAAATTTAGGAATAAGTTCAGTTAGCAAAGCGCACTGATCACGAGCCGCGGGATTGAAAGAACCTGAAAGAAAATATGACCCACGCCGAGGGAAGTGACTTGCGTCCTCTGATGCCAAAACACGTCTAGCAAATAATCTGCGGTGATCTTTGGTTCAATTGCGATGTCCCTTGATACCGATTATCCAGGTCAGTTACATGCAGTCTCATTTTGCCGCAAAGTTATGGCCCGTCCATCCAAATTGCGGCCCACTGCTCATCTTTCGCTCAAAGTAATAAGAATGACTGTTAAACGTCCCTGAATTTTTTTCAAGGCTCCTAAAATGTTTACGGGAGAGATATTATTGTACGTGCATGGAAGCTGATCATTCACAAAACAGTAGAATCCACAAAGAAAAAGTTGAAAACCGCAATGTTGTTGTGTCACACTATTGTCAGTTGGCGCATTTCCAAATATGGCATTTCACCCGATTGCCCACAGCTTGAGCTTAGACCGCTTGTGTCTACAGTCGTTCATTCGTAGATTCCTTGTAAACTTTTTGAAGTGACTTCCAAAGAGAGGAACTGATCTTTTACCTTTAGAGTCGAACAAATTAAATGCTTCCAAATTAAAGACTATCTGATGTGCAACAGCGGTGGGTTTTTAAGTTGATCCATCCGAGCTTTGACAGTCTTTGGCAGCCTTTGACTGCCCTTTACCGAAGCGTTGCCAAAAAATCATTTGCGAGGGTTTTTCGCTTAAAAAGTGCTTTATTCCGCAAATTATTTCTGTCTCATTTTCTTATATAATTACTTGACTTTTATGGCTTAAACGTTTTTATTTTAAAATACCTGTATAATAGCAACCGACCGTTAACAGCAGGAGTAGAAAAAAAAAAAAAAAGCTTCCCACAGCAGGATTCAAAACCTCGACCCTCAGCATACCTATAGATGATGAATTATTCACGAAGAACTCACAGTTACCCACTTTGGTTGAAGACCACGGTGGGCTCAAATGATTTGCACAGCGGGCTACAGATTCAAATTACATTTGCTTTCTGCTGGAAATCAGTCAATTTGCCCACCTAATGACTTGTCGGACAGGTCATGTTATCTATTTATGGATATTAAAAAGCCCTTTAATATATAAAACCTAATGACATTCTTTTATCTTGCGTTAGCTTGCACATATTTTGAACGAGCTTTTAGCCCGTAGACGTTACGTGTCAGTATAAATGATTTCTTGACTGCTTGCTTGCTTGCTTGATTGATTGACTGATTGATTGATTGATCGATGACTTCATTGACTGATTGCTTGAATGCTTGCTTGAATGCTCGCCTGACTGATTGATTTAATGATTGATTGATTGATTGATTGATTGGCTAGCCGTCATCCATTTGTCTTCTTCCCATTAGTGCATCTGGCTTTTATCTAAGTTAAGCGAGGTTTTTATTTCTTTGTGGGAAACAGTTCCCACGGTTAGTAACATGCCTACAGTTAAGACACACTCTAAGCATGTATTTGCCAGTAGCGTCAGTAGCATCAGTTTCTTTCAGTTTCCTCTTCCTAATGTTCAGCGAAATACATTTCACGTTTGTTAACATCTGGCGCGGCCACTTCAATTTTCAAACTCACTTAGACGTAATTGGCCAGGAATTCAAAAAAATAATATAATAAATAATAAAGATGCAAGAAGGCATTGTACAATTTATTTACAAACTTTGATGGCAAAGGTTATTATAAATACATGTAACACTATGTAATTCGAAAAACGAACAAAATAAATACTACGACAGACATCGAACACTTCTGTCAATTCCATGCCAATGCATGATTATTTTAACTGTAATTTCATAACTAATTAGCAAATAAAATGAAATTAAACAGTTCATTTACTTCCTTAGCTGTGTTTCAATTTTAGCCTGTCCCTGACCTACCTCAAGGAAAAAGTACGCAACATTTTTTGTTTGTTTTTGTCTCTTTCGCATATGCTACTCATCTTGAAGATCTTTTGGCCTGCTGTTGCAAACTTGATTTCTTCAAAGCATTTTCATTTTTGCTACCCTTTCTAACCTAGCTAACCTCTCAAACTGTGACACATTACGCATGACATAACAACACGAATGCCATGTGCTAATAACACAGCTGTTTTATAAGGTATGCACACGTTGTAGCGGTACTGATGAAAATAACAGAGGCTTCAGCGGCGTTGTATGCTGCTCTCAGACTATGATTGTTACATAATAGGTCTGCGGTACAGGCTTTAGAAACTATTGGTGCTAATGCAACCTTTAATTACGTAACGGCTATGAACATTATTGATGCTATCGCGATAGCTAGAACTCTGTTCAGGAATTATACGATGAATCCTGGGAGCCGTTTATATACATATATGAACTGGACAGAAAACTATGTACGTCTACAATGCCCTTGATGCCTCTTTTGGAATTCATTGTATGTATCATCTCTGAGGAATGGTCTAGCAACTCGCTTCTCGAGCAAATATTTGTTTTAAGAACATCGACTAATTTCCGGCGATGGGCAACTATGAGCCGATAGTTCCTCGACAGAAACATTCTATTGTTTAAATATTGCGTGATAGATCCCTCAAGGTGTCGATTAAGTTGTTTTCAAGTCGACGCAGCGGGAAAGATTAACTATGGACTTTCTGCTGGGAAAATAAGGTTAAAATGCAAATATTAGCTAACTTTGTCCACTGAGTATAATGCTTAATAAATTGTGAGGAACATATTGATTAAATATACAAAGTTCCCGAAGGTTTTTCCCATATAATTCCACTGACTCACTCGGTATCAATCTACATAACTTTTAGGGCTATGCTTCGAATTCTTTTCGTAACTGTGTTGATGATATATATATTCAGATGTTTTCGTTTCCTTACTTTTATTTTTGTTTGTTTTGTTCTACCTTTGTTGGTGGCCAGACGTATGTCTTAGCTTATAAGACCCAAATTCGTCAATTAAGCTCTACAAGTGCAAATATAAGGTTATTTCTTGTTGGTGTTTTGTGCCATAACGTTTATTCTAAATCCCGAAGAGTTTTGGTTGACGGCGGTTGCTCATTTCCAAGAGATCAAAACATGGTACATGAATTAATTTTTTTTTTCTCTCTTGACATGTAGTTAATTTACCAATTTGCATAGATATTGCCTAATCAGAGGTGCAAGTAATCCCAGCCCTTCCTTGTCATTATATAAGTTATTAAAGTTATTATATATTACATCGAGTCATATATCATATAGCTCATGAAATAGGATATGTTTTCTGTTCCAGTTTCTACTCTTTGTGTATTAAATGAAAACAAACTGCTGAACGAAATGTTATTTATTCCAGTTTCAGCGCCTACACAAAGAAATTACCATGAATTATAGAAACGCAGTATGGGATAATAAATCAATTAAGCCGCTTAGCCACAGATTCGATAGACTATCAATCAAAAGCGACAGGACTGCAAATCATACGTGATCTCATGACCATGTGTAACGTTTCTTTTGACATACAGTGAAATTGTCGCAGAGGACATCAGAGGCAAAAGCGCTTTAGTGGCAAAGAGTTTTGTAAACCAGCATTTAACTAGCTGTTACGGGGGCGGGGGGGCGGAGGGGGGGGGGGCGAGGAGGGATACACCGTTATTTGGAGTATGGTATCTTAGCTGTTTTGGTCAGATAGAATGTGTCGAATTTGGCCATGCATTTTGGTCTGAAATAGACTGTGATTTTTGCACTTTAGTCTTGACTTAGGTATGCTTTTTTTGTAGTAGAAGCTACTTTTTCATAATTATCGATAAGATCATCAACAAAGGTCCTTCACAGTACCTTAAGCATTGGTCTTAACTAGGGAACTAATTATAAGGCAGGAGTGACACAGGGTATTGATAAAGGGTCAGGTCTTAAATAGGTTATCGAATGGTCAGGTCATAAACAGTGTAAATCGGCAGATTTTGGTCTTACACAGCGTAAAGGCTTTGGGAAGCGGGTCGCACACCCGCACCTAATTTTTCCGGGAGTACCCCCCCCCCNGAAACAGGGTATTGATTTAAGGGTTAGGTCGTAAATAGGTTATCGAGTTTTTGGTCAAGTCATAAACAGTGTAGGGATCGCACATCCCACCTAATTTTACCGAGAGTACCCCCTTTCCCATCCCCGGCCAGCAATCTGAATTGCTTGGTGTGTACACCTGAATCTGAAGTAACCTGTGCCCCAGCAGTAAAAACAAAAACCAAAAGAAAATCCGTGATGTAAGTGTTACACTAGAACTGCCTTCTGAACAGCTGAATTATAGACTGGGCATTTTTGCGTTTATAAATTCCAATACCTTGTGTTTGAAAACCTCGGTGGGTTTACTTAATCCTGGGTCAAGGACATTGAACAATCCAGAAACACTCCTAGTGCTCACTGTTTGCAGTGTGAGATCATACAAGGGATAATACAATTAATTTGTTTCCTCTGGGCAACTTAATAAGCTTATTAATGTTTAGTAGATGTGTTGGACGCCCTTTGCTCCACTAGGAAGCCGAAGGATTAAGTCAGTAGATGTGCGGAGACCAGTTCAGTGGTGAGAATGACTGCGATTTTCATGCTACATTGTGTCTCTTTCCGAACCAAAACATTTAAGGCTAACGCNTTTTTTCAAAAACATGCCCGCTATTTTGGTGCAAAGTCTTTAACACGGTTTTCATAAATTCAGACATATATATATATATATATATATATATATATTCGCACGATCACACTTAAACAATATGTCAGTCAAAAATAATTCGACACCCCAACGGGTGATTTTAATGCGAACAATGAAAAAACAATGGCTGGTCGGGATGGACACCACACCAGCTTTGTTACAAAATGGTTTCCTACTTATGATTGGCTCAAGTGGATTTTGGGTGTGACATTCAAGTTTAAAGAAGCACTCACCGCGCTGAGGTCTCATTCACCCTGGTGATTTGGAAGAGAGCACATCGAGAACAACAGGAGCTGTAAGACTGATATCTTACTTTACGTCGACCATCATGGTAAGTGTTGCACAAAAAAAGGTTTTATTTTGTTTTTCATTGATGAATTGACTGTACTGCTTATTCTTAATTAGTGCCTGATCTCAGATTCATTTCAATTCCATTCTGCAAAGTGTGATTAAACCAGACATGAAGATCAAGCTGTGTATGGAAGGCGCCGTAAACGGGCACCCGTTTGTGATTACCGGGGAAGGAGATGGCAAGCCTTACGAGTAAGCAAAAGTTCCAAAATATCCAATCGTTGTGTTCAGTTTTATCGCCACATTGCTCCAAGCAGTGCTTAGTTTAGGTATTTGGTTCCTTTTTTGTTTGTTTGTTTGTTTGCTTTTTTTTTTTTTCCCTTTTTTTCTTTTCTTTTCTTTCTATTCCGCTTTGTTTTTGCATATCTCTGTTGTCCAAAGTCATTACTAGCGCACTTAACTTTGAACTTTTGACAAATATCTGTCGTGCAATCTACATGATCAAATGCATTTGTCACATAAAAACTGCGTGCCTATGTTTGTCAGAATAAGCATGCATTGAAAAAGTGTGCAAAAAATCAAGCGACCCATTAACTCAGAAAACGATGAACATACTGTGCTGTTCGCGGGTGTAAAAGAAAGCTACCAACCATATACCAAGTAAACAGCATACACATGGTTCTGAGTGATTAAGGTCAGACTCTTAATGTCGAAATCAACTACAATACTTGCCAAAAAATTCGGACGAAATTTTAAGTGTCTAAAATATTTACAGTTCAGTATGAAACTTTAAAGTAGATCCAAAGTACTGAGTTTTGTTTATGATGGGCTTTAAGTGGCGAACTCTAGTTGAAAATACCGCTTAACATACGTAACGGCTTGGTAGAATTAGTGATATGTCAATTTCTCGTCAGTGTATTGGTAAAACCTCGAGGCTGCATGCAGTACGTAAAACTATTGTTTCCACAGATGTTGTTCACTTTAGTTCGAGGCTTGAAGGCGTAAATTCACTTAAGCTTTGTTTTAGCAAAGTATTTGCTCGAAATGAGATAAAAAGTGTCCGAAAAGTAAAAGTCCGAAATAAAACGTCTGAAATTTTACATGTGTCTGAAATTTTTTCGCAAGGAAAATATTCACTTGTTTAATTCAACCTATTGTAGTAACAGGATGCAGTCGGACCAAGAAAATTCTAACTTTAAATATCAGAACTTTTCTTCAGCGAAATAGATTTTCGGCCGTTATTACTTCTCAGGACTTTTTGGACGGAAAAAATCAATGTTCTACATTTTATCTGAACGGTTCGTTTTCTCACTTGTTTGGTTTTCTTGCTTGTGTTTTAGGGGAACTCAGACTATGGACCTCACGGTCATAGAGGGCGGACCTCTGCCTTTTGCTTTCGATATCTTGACAACAGTATTCGATTACGGCAACAGGGTATTCGTCAAATACCCAGATAATATAGTAGACTATTTCAAGCAGTCCTTTCCTGATGGTTATTCTTGGGAACGAAGCATGACTTACGAAGACGGGGGCATTTGCATCGCCACCAATGACATAACGTAAGTAAGATGTAGTGCTAATGCCCTCAGCAGGGAAAACGTTGCACTGAGATTTACAAATGGTTTAGTTCTAATCATATTTCTTTGATTTGTCCCCTCTTAATCTCTAATTACTATTGTTTTTGGAGTTTATTCATTGATCTATTCGTACATTTTTAGCTATCTTATAAAGCTTCTTGCTTTGTTACCACTAGGAAATGTTATATGAAAGATTTTGACTTAGTTTAAAACTCTTTTCTAATAAAAGTCGTTCTCTCTGTGTATAACCATATGAAAGAAAAAAAATGCTTACAGTATTATAGTCCTCCTGTTCTCCACCTTTATGCTGTTATATCTTAATGTACAAGTCTCTATTTAATTGTTTTGCCAACCGTTAAACAGAGTTGTTTCTCACACCTTTGTTTAATTGGTAACACTCCATTTGCCTCACTTTTCTTTCATCAGACTGAGTAAAGAGGTCAAAAACTGTTTTGTCTATAAAATTCGATTTGATGGTGTAAACTTTCCCCCGAAAAGTCCGGTTTTGCTGAAGACAACAAAGAAGTGGGAGCCTTCCACTGAGAAAATGTATGTGCGTGATGGAGTGCTGAAGGGTGATGTTAACATGCCTCTGTTGCTTGAGGGAGGTGGGCATTACCGGTGTGACTTCAAAACTACTTACAAGTAAGCTTTTTTACGCGTTTAAGTGAATTGATGACTCGGAATAAGGAGTAAACGACAACTATTCTACGTAACGGAGTGTCATGCAGATATTAAAATTCTCGCGACTTCCGAAGAGTTTGGGAGACCTTAGATGCAACAGTGTCGCAATGTTATATGATTCTGCACCCAAACCAGTGTCACTGATTTGAATTGGATTGTTCCATTGCAGAGCTAAGAAGGCTGTC